CTAGCAATGATTAATTTATTAACAGTAGGCCAAAATTAATCAGCATCAGTTGTGAACAGCTGTGATTAAATAAAAACACATTCATTAGTCACATTGCGAATTTAAACATAATAGGCCTACTAAGAATGGTAGAGAAACGGATTAAAATATATAATCATATATTTTTCACCTGATGAAGCTGGCTCAAGCCAGCGAAAGCTTGTGTATTAATAAATTTCGTTAGTCTAAACATTCTCTATGGTCTAAACATGGTCTGTTCTATTTTCTCTATTGTCTAAAGAAGGTGCTACTATACTTATTTCACTTGTATTTCATGCTGACTAATACGGTTCCAACGTTTTTATAATCATATATGTTTGTATCTTTTGAATTATAAATCGCGGTTATATCTATAAACATTAGCCCAATGTAACTGCAATCAAACTTAAACTTAATCAAAATTGCTGATTATATAAATTCCGTTTGCTTACTGTAGGCCTATTTGTTTTGACCTTTGACATTTGCGTTAAACAAGATTGCTGTACAAAAGGAGTATCATATACCAGTATACCATTCCGCAATTGTATACACATGGTCGACTAAATTTAGATCCAATTAATTCAATTCATGTTTTCATCGATTTTAGCATTCACTGACCATTATTGTTGTATTTATACCCGCCCATTTGTGAATCGAGTACGATCCGTTACGACCTGGTTTTCGTTATACGTACATACGCGTCATCTGATGTCAGAAATCAACTCGAACTCGTTTTAGATGTTAAAATCGCAACATACAAATAGTAGTATGTGTTTAATTAATAATGGTAATGTAATTTGAATTTAACGTAAAAATATGTTAAACGAATGAGATTTATTTAATACTATCATGGAAGTATAAACCTTCATGAGGACCTAGATTTGTTTGTGCGTATTTCTATTTATTTTCTCGGGATTGAGTGTACCATATCTCCCAATAAAGAGAAGATTGCTTCAACCCTTATTAAGTATTATTCAGCAAAACCTTATAGACAGATATATAAAAGAAATACTGAATGTTGGTCCAATAACAAAGATGAATATGATGCGCCCCATGAACGACAATACAGGATCTCCGAAAATGAATGTTGGTCCAATAACAAAGATGAATATGATGCGCCCCATGAACGACAATACAGGATCTCCGAAAAGATTTTTTAAATTAGAGCACACGTAGGAAAAGTGGATCGTGGGCTACCATTTGTTCTTCCCCCCTCCCCAACAACCTTATGTGTGCGGCCCGGCTACCATCTTTGTAAAATTAATTGCTATAAGTTCCGTTTCTCTCTGTGATTCATCCATACACCAACGGCCAAGCAATGGGCACCTCGGGCTCTTACAATTATTGCCGGGGATCGGTGGCGTTCCCGATCCCCTGATCAGACGTACCGCACGACATTTTGCAAAATAAGCATGCTTATTCCAGAAAATAAATAAATAAATAAAATAAATTAATAATTAAAAATCAATAATTCTATAATGGTTCCGTATTAATGGTTTTATCTCCTTTATCGTGTTATCTCTTGGTTTGAGGATTATTCTGTTGTTGTTATATAATCGTGCTGAAAGACGTTCTTAATTCAAGATATAACCGTTTGGATAAACAGATTTTAACACGTTTCCTGTTATAATTACACTCAAGCACCTAATCCCAATTAGCAACGTATTGTCTTAGTTTATGCCACGAGGGGCCTTTCTTGAGCAAAATTTGATATGGATGATTAGGACATGGATGATTGGATAAATTTTAAAGTAAGAAACAATACTGTTTTCATCATGGAGGAATACGTTTAGCGACACCATCTTCAGAGGCTGTTTTCCCCTGAAAAATTAAATATTATTATTATTTAATCACCATCGTTATTATTATTATTAATATCATCATCATCATCATCATCATCATCCTCATCATCATCATCATCATTATAATTATTATCATTATTATATTATCATTGTTATTATTATTACTTGTTAATATTATTATTATTATCAAATGGTCGATGTAGTAGCAGAACACGTATACATTTTATTAAAAAAAAACAACTACTTTAAACTTCATTATAGGCGAGTGCCTATACTTAATGCATTTGCCTTCAAGGCCCCAAACCAGTAGGTTTACTACCATCTTCAGTGAAAATACCTAGTGAAGTTTAAATTATTATTATTATTATTATTATTATTATTATTATTATTAATCATCATCATTATCATTATCATTATTAGTATTATTATTATTATTACTACCGTTATTATTATTACTGAGGTATTATTATTATCGTCTTTACAGAATTATATTATTTTTTCGACGTTCTTTTTTATGTTTTAGATTGTGTTATTAAATCTGAATTGCCGATAATCCATAACCATAGGCAAACCTGGATGAAGTTCTATAATTAATCATGCATATAAGCAGCAAAACATTATAATATAGGCCTACAAACAAATAATTTTGTCTATCCATTCATTAAATAATTTGGTTTTTACCATTTAAAACAAAGTTAAAAAAAAATGTCAAAGTAATACCGTATTTGTTATCGTTTATGATATTTATTGTGGAAGTATAGAGTCTCAGCTTTATGATGTCGTAGTATCTTAACATGGAAGGCAGTGTCTTTTGAAGGAAAGGAAGAAAACAGAATAATGATATTCAAAATTATGCGTCAATGGAGCGACATGAATATCACGTGACCTACTACTACTACTACTACTACGCATCTGTGTGTAGTAAATATTTTGGCTATTCCGTCGTTTGGCCTTTACCCCCTTCGTCAATATGAAAATCTTAAAAATCTTCTTATATATATATTTTTTTCCAATATTTTTGAATGATCGTATTTCCATATATGATACAATATGACGTTTGTTTGGAAATAAAAACTGTTTGGTCACACGGTACCATTTCCAGGCCAAATATTTGAGGTAATCTTGAACTTGGCACTCGTTCAAAAATACTACATCGATCTCCTGATGCGCGAATATCAAGTGACGTCATATCCACATGGCTTCGGAGAGGCTCACTAAACAGCGGCGCCTATTTATTCAGATGAATAAGGCCCGCCGAACAGAAAACACGCGATACAACTCGAACGGATTTTTTTTTTTGTGAATCAACTGATAAGCGAACGCTACTGACACATTTTACAATTAGGATATACACATTACTATTGTAGGAAATGGTGTCTTTATTACAGCTAAAAGTGTTGCTATTATGCTGTCTATACTGTTGTATTATTAAATCTACTTTAGGTAAGTAATTTCAGTTGATTTTTGTTCTTATAAATTTTCGTACGTGGCAAGAATTGGACGCATGTTGCAAATGCCGGGCTGCCGGCGGGAGGAAGACATTCAATATGGCGTGATCGAATATTGTCAACTCCAGTTTTATGTAGTACAGTATTAGCTTTATACTTACATACTCTACTGCAGTCTGTTTTATTCAACCTTTCACATTGTATTTTTCAGTTTCATCAACATAAACATGTTATGTAATGAAATTAAAAATTTTAAAAAATGGTTTTTTTTCCAATATTTCTTGCCATCTCACTCATCATGACTTGTCCTGTCTTTCTGTGTCAGAGAATATTTAAATACATTAATATGTTCTGTTAATTTATGATGATTTTCAAGAAATATTTTAATGCATATGCTTGTTACATTTTCATATTTTGATGTAGGCTTCGGTGGATGTGCTCCTGATCAATTTAAATGTGGAAACGATAGATGCATTCCGGCGGTTTGGAAATGTGACGGTGAAAACGACTGTGCTGATGGCTCCGACGAAAATGAATGTGGTATGCAAACAACGTATTTTTGTTAAAATTACCTACCCAATTTGGAATTGTAAATATACAATCTCAGGGATGTTATATTACGAACAAGATTCTATTTTTTTCCCCCCAAGAGATCGTATGACTTTCGTCAGTTCGACATGGAAACACTCTAAATTCTTGGATTATACAATACAAGGCTAAGTAAATGTGATTCAGCAACATAATGTTAGTTGTATTAAATCCAAAATTATATCAATTGCAAGTTAAGCATTCATCATAGAGATGGATTTTGCAGCTAAAATAAATTCTATATTTTACTGGTACAAGACTTAAAAATTCTGCAACTGAATTATGGCATCCTTCAGTTAGAACGCACCTGATTGGCTAATGCTTGACATAGTCAATCAATCTGTGACGAACCCTTTTATTGCTAAAACCTGATTCGTCAATTGGTTAACACACCCTCCATGGAGTATAATCTCTATAATCATGACTGAATTTTATCAGAGCTAAACCTTGTAGTTGTTGTACAATAGTATATAGCCATTATTATGTGTTAACATAGAATATACTAACACATATATATACAGTATTATAAATATATTGCTTTGATCAGTACAATTTCAGAGCACCTTCTAGTATTATACAGTAGCTATTTAATAATAGTTTAGTTTAATCGTAAAAAAAGATTTATCATGTGAAAGATTTAGATCTGTTGTGGGCAAATCTTTGCTGAAGTCTGGTTAACACACCCACTGTACAGTATAATCAATGTCTGAGTTTTGTCTGTCTGAGCTACAATTTCCACAATCGACAGTGGTGATATTAAAAAATATCTACAATATTTATTAAGGTGTTGAAGATAATGTTTTAAATCTTTTTTTTAACAAAATTTCATACAGTAGACCTATTTATATCTTTAAAAAAATATAATCAATACCACAGCAGCCTATAGACGTGCCAAAGTCAATATTACAATCAGAATAGCTGAATTTGTTCCATATTCTGTCTTAATGTACTGTACTATGTACAAAACAATTTTTCTTCAGCATTTTTCCGCAGTATTTCTGAATCAGATTCCTGTTTAAAAAAAAAAGAAAGAAAACTAATGTAATGACCAACAACATACAGTAGTTCACCATACCGTTGTTTATACAGCATTAAATTCCTGGTTTGATAGCAACTAAATTCGTTTAAAGAATGCATTGTTCAGTAGGGCAACTGTATCATAGGTCTTGCATTGTAAAGGTCCCTAGGTGGAGCTTAATATCTGATAAGAAGTTGGAGCGGAGTACCGGTAGATGTAAAAAAAACGTGATGGCAGATGCTAACTGTTGGCCGATGCCCAAGTTGTGAAAGAAAGATCAATAACAGTACGATTCCTGTAAATGATAAAACAAAACATAGAAAACAAAACAAAGAGGAAATCAATCAATACTCATCAGTCGTTTGTGCCAAATTTACAGTTTCTTCGGTGGGGGGGGGGGACTGGCTAGTTTATCAAGGCGTAATTTATACAAGATTTGTTTTTGTTTTTGTCATAGTTGTGACCCTGCCCTTACAGTGCATCTGATATTAACCTTTCATGAGTAATAACAAACCATTTTTTACTTTGTAGTAGAGGATATCTATGAAGAGGTCAAAGTAATGGTTAATTTCCGCCAAGTTAGTTTTCATCCCATATTTGGCAAGTGGTTGTATCACCCCATTTATTCAACCATACAGTACGTAACCCAGATGTAGAATGACTGGTCTCAGGAAATGGGACAGAGAAAATTGTCCAATAAAAAGTCAGCTTGCTTGATAGAGCATGTATGACCAGTTTTTCCTACATTCTGCGGTAGTTAAATAGTTGATACTTGCATTCAGGAAAAACATGCAAAAAACATGATCAATTTTGAATGACCTTGCACAAATTTATTAAATTTGGTAACTTTTCAGATTGTCTATTAAATAAATTCCAGTGTGTTTGATTTGGTTTTTGACTTGTCCCTTTTGCATCTGGAATTTTAAGAATATTTCAATGGAAATACAGTAGCCCGGAAACATTATACTGTACAGTATACAGTATTTCATTTAAAGGAATATTATTAAATAGCCTTGAATAAATCCAATTTTTCGCAGGTACCTGTAGGCTGGACAGAGTAAAGTTCTTGAACTTACTTTAAGCGTTTTTATAACTTTAAGCGTTTTTATAATTTCTTACATGTAGTTTGCAAAATAAATAAATTAAATACCAGAGGAGTGATGTTTTGCCCTACCGTGCCTGATGTGTTATCATACCGAATACTCAGTACGTTCCCAAATACTTGTGAACAAAATTTGCAAGTGATTCGGGTGTGAATCGAACCCATGACCTAAGGCCATTTACCACTACAGTAGTCTATCATACCAAGCTTGTGCTTAGTGACTAGTGTTGGATCCAATCCGCGAGTACTGTGCTATAACGATGCGAGTTTGCATCAGGAAATATCATAGGAATGATATAATATTATATATTATTATTATATTATTATTATATATTATTATTATTATTATTATTAGTATGTAGAATGGTAATAATTATAGTATATAATAATATTAAGTAAGAATAAGTCTACCAGCAGAAATTCTGTTAAAGGAAGAATAATTAATATTTAGGTTTAAGTATGTTTTCTTAAACTAATTTATTGATTACAGTATTCTGATGTAATTTTTTATAGTAAATCAATTCAATCAATCAATTCAACTTTTATTGTCAAACACAGTGAGAACATGGTTTGAAATTCTTCTTGTTAGTTCACAGTTAAAATGTAAGTTAAAACAAGACACAAAAAATAAAATCACAGAAAAAACAGAGGAAACGGCAAAAATTTAAAAACGATAAATGTCTAAAAGATAAATTAGTCATAATTTCTTACAAGTGTTGACGGTCAGTAGGTTTAATCAATTTTTTTTTGTTAAATACTTTCTCATCTCAACATTTTAAAGAAGCCATGACCATACTGTAACATTATATTGGTGGCGTTTATTGATTGACATGATAGAAAATTTTATGTAAATAAACAAACTTAAAATATTGGATGTTGGACTGAAACATAACACTTTTTCCAAAAATACTCCCCACCCGAAATAGAAAAACTAAATTAAAAAAAATTCACAAATTCGGTTGCCTTTTGAAAGAGTATTCCACTGTTGTGTTGAGCATGTGGAAGGAAATTGGGTGCCAATTTGTGTTGGCTCCTGGCCACAGCCAAACTGCCTGACCATGTTTCCAAATAGGGCATTAGTGCTACAGTAATCTAATTAAAAAAGAATAGTATAGTGCCAAAATTAGAAAGAGATGGTGACTAGTAGCTAAGTTTTCTTGTTCTACTTTACACCATGTGTTGTCATTCATTTGGCGTTTGACTGCTGTCTTATTGTTCGTTTAAATATACCGGAGTCTGAGGAATTATCTTTATAGTCTACCGTTCAAGAATTGATGAATACATCACTGTTATGATTTCTTCCATCAATTTTTACTAGAGACTTTAACCCCCTCTGCTGGTAGTTAGTTACCTTGATAATGGTATTGTTAAAATGGCTTCCTATTCATTGAATAGGTTGTGGGTAGCTATGCATTATAATTTGCATTAGAATGAGTCAGTAATTACGAAAAGGTGGTCTGATCTTCAAGTACCCAGGTATTGATTGAATTCAACTGCTGTGAGTTTAATGCCAGGACTGAATTGTTAATGAACTACTCTGTTAATGATTGGGGGCGCCAGACAGCTTACTTAATCACTCTGGTTATTGAGACAGTGCTACCAATTTTCATAATATGTGGGACCTGTTATTTCCTGATTCAGAGTTGTAATTATTAATGAATGCAGTAATTATTAATAAACACTATCATTAATGAATGCTGTAAATATAAACACTATTTATCATTATCTTTGAACAGTTGATTATTACTAACTTATTATTTCATTAGAATTTGAGAAGAGAAATTGCGCATTATTTCAGCAGAAAAATATTTATTCCACTATTTTTTTTGTGAATGAGAATGAGATAAGAGGGAAAAGCCATTTTCATGGCACTGACATCTGGCATTACAGTATTGCTGTTTAAAGGGATCATACCTCATCCATTTTAATTTCTGTATTTTAAAAATTGAAAGATTTCATTATTTTCTTGTCGGGAGCATTTTATTTTGGAAAATAATGCCAAAATAGAATGATAATCAATGTCTTCCTGAAAAAAACTGATTATCTTTAATCATTACTTGTTATTATTAAATGATGTTATTATGAAAAAAAATTGATCAGTAAGTTTAACTAGTTGTTGTTGTAAATTTTTGATCGAAATATTTCTTAGCTTTTACTTACCTTGATATGTCTACTGTTTTACTATTTGGTGTGTGCTGGGCCCCAAAGAACAATTCTGTTTACCCTGATTTGGCCACCTGCGATAAAGTAGAAATAAATCTTTAAAATATTAAATATTTCAAAAGAATCAATACCGTAAAACCTCGAAGGGCTTTATCTCGAGATACTGTAAAGACCATCTCGAATTGAAGCCCTCTCTTTACTTTGCAAAGTTAGCCTCAAAAGGAAGCCCATCTCGAAAAGAAGCCCATGGGGTTCTTTTCAAAATAGAATAGGCTTCTTTTCGAGAAAGTACAGTACAGTTTGTAGTGTAGGTGATTTAATGCCAGTTAAATACACTCCATAATACAGATTGATGTTACAATGATCTTATTTATTGTTTAATTGTACAACTTCACAAAATTTACAGCATTCATTTTAAAAAGAACCCCCAGGGCTTCAATTTGATGTTTTACGGTATGTGAAATAAATTCCATTTCAGAACCACACTAGAATTTTTGATTTTTTTTTTTTTTAATACCATTATTCTTTCTAGTAACTTGCGTTGTTTATTATCGTTATTTATTATCATTACATATCATTACTGACATTATTAAATAACCGTTTAAATAACCCGATTTAAATATACTTTTACTTTTTTTAACTGTGATTTTGTGCCATGATAAAAATAAAATATGCAATTTTTTTTTATATTTGTACAACTATGGCTGCTCTAACTTAAAACTGGCCAGAAATTAAATTTATTTGCAATTATCGCTGGGCAGCACATTTTTTTAAAAAGTGTTATCGCGTGGTAGGTTTCACATAGATGCCTTCATGGGAAAAATATTAATCTTTTATTATTACTGAATCCTGACACTATCTTAAACTTGTGCAATAGTATGACATCTCATAATAACCATATCTCCGCATCACAAGGGTATTTTTTAACAAATACATTTCAATAATCTCATAAATGGTGTGGCTGGGAGGAAATGCTGTACTCTGAGCATTGTAAAGTTGCAAACTCGAAGAACACTTAAAAATTTATTGACATCATATAATCATAAAATGTATTTTTATAATGTGTTTGTATAATTCATTTTAATATACAATTGATAACAATTTGATAATTTTAAGCTAAATTTCAAATTATAGAAGTATTATTTAGCAGCCATGTCAGTAAAGTTTGATAATTTTGAATAGAAACAACTTACCAAATTACTTGAGCTCAATGTGTTACGTTTGTAGGTACTTAATTAACTAAAAATAATTTCTATCTTTACTGGTTGCCAGATTCTTTGTTAATGAGTCTCTTAATTAGGAACAATAGTGTTAAAATTACTAGTGTGGGAAGAGGGTAGGTGCCTGTAATGATGCAAATGACCTTAAAGGGAGATAGGGTGAACCAGCCAGCTAAAATTCATAGCTCCTTACATCTTGATTACCTTAACCAAACCCATTCATAGTCTCACTATACATTGATCATCCACATGATTGGTCACCGCAATGGTGTGACTGCCGGCCAGCCAATCAGAAAGGGTGAGGTGATGAAACGGTATGTTTATTCAAGCATGACCAATAACTACAGTAAACTCAAGCCACCACTAAGAAAGGGCGTATGATGAACTCAATGTTTACTACACTGACAAGATAAACACTATAGAATACTCGAATGCTTTTCAGTTAGGAATTGGTAGTGAAAGCTTTGAGAAGACATTCCTTTTCTCTCTACCTTGATTCGTACCACCGATAAAATATATACCAAAGATGTCTGCAAAGAAATACCTGTTATTTGTGATGTTGCTAGTTTGTGTTAGTATCTGCCTTAGCCTGAGAAATGGCATTGCCGGCAAAGATGTGCTTTTAAATAATCGTTTCGAGAGGGAGGTTGCACGCCATAGAAATCCACGAAGGATTCCAGCTAGGAAGCGTCTGCCTTTTCTAAGTAAGCAATTTTTCAGTTTCAAACAAATTAATTATACAAAATTAAAGTGCAGTTTTTGTTTTATCTTTGAAATGCGACTCTAGCTAGGTCTGCTGCAGTGCTACAGTACTTTGCTTATATTATTTAGTTTTAGAGAACAGGTGACAAACTCTAGTTTAATAAATAGTGAATGAACTAATTAACAAATGCGTAATCAGAAAAGTATTATGATTATAGGTAACAAATTATTACTGTACTTAAAAACATGTATAAACATGCCAGTTGTGTTGAAAATGGAGCGTTTTCTATTTTTTGGGGGGAAAAAGTCTTTGGGAAACATGAAAAGAAAATTGAGGTTATTAAACTTGCTTGGTATAAAACCATTGAAATCGTGTACAATAGGGTTTACTTCCCTATTGATAAAGTTTCCGCAGATTAAATTTGATGAATACACTTTTTTCCTTTATAGAAATATTAGGCAAGTCATTTTTTCAGTTTGTGTGGTATGAAGCATTTTTTGTACAGTACACATTTCAAGGATAATAGTACTACGAAAAACAACATTGGATTTGTGTACAGATTTCCGTGTCTTTTCTCTTCTTTTTTTTTTTGCATTATATAAAGTGGTTCGTAATGGTGTTAAAGCAGGGAGTGTTGGAATACGTGCGTTCAAGCGATTTTTGAAACTGAACAGTTTCCTTTAAGTGTTCTATAAACAAGGATTATGTGTATTTTTATCATAATGCATATTTACGAGTACTGTATTTGTTGACAATGCCGTTAAATTCTGCCTACCAAACAGGAATGTGATAGCTTATCACGGATCATGAGTACCGCAATATTAAATAAACATTGATGAATGGTCCGTTTTCTATATTCCTACATACTTACAGTATCTTGCTGCTGATAATGCCCTATAAGTAATTTATAATCAACACAAAAAAAGTTTGAGATTAAAAATAATTTTTTTTTTTGTCTTCCAGTGAAGAAAACATGCAGCGCAACAGAATTTACTTGCGACAACCAAGATTGTATACCCAGTAGGTGGCAATGCGATGATGAACCCGATTGCAAGGACCAGTCTGACGAAAAGCCGGAAGTATGCAGTAAGTACTATCACGCATGACATCGTAGCGTACATTGTTATAGAAATATCTGATTCAGAAATGTATTGAGTAATGTTGTTTAATCAGATGCTCACATTAAGACTTTTTAAACTCAAGCGCTACACCCTCGTTTTAAAAATATTGAATAATGCGCTTGATTTTGTGTTATCGATGTTACCAGTGCACAAATCTTGAGGTTTTGTACTCTCAATGTTTTCAGTTGCTTTGGTTTTAGTACATGGCTCGAAAATGTGCCAAGGAATGGGGTGAAACAACTAAAAACAAAAATAATTCATTGGATTCTTGTGTAGATTTAAACTATTTGAAAGTACTTTTAAATTATACATGTTGGTGTCATGTTTACAAACCATTAATTGATACCTTGAGTGAATTTATTTATGAACCTTTATAAATACTTGGCAAATCTCACTCAAAGATGCAATAAAAAGCAAAGATGAACTTTAAACCGATGACATATGATGGTGTGATTCTCAGGCAAATCACACCACTGACAGTTCATTCTGTGCATTCTCCGAATATTCCAAGCAAATAAATGATGATGATGGTGACTGTAAAGATGGTAAAACAGTACAGCATTTCTGAGGTTAAGTGTTCTCTACATATTTTCATTGGAAATACTGAAATCTAATGACTTTATAAGCTTCTTTAAAAATATTTTGCTCATGTTTAACCTCAATAACAGTAAACCAATATTTAATTTTGCATTCCTTTCTCTGGGAGGTCACCCAATTCAGGTAATTTGTAGTTGGCTCTTAGCCACCATCCCCTGGAGCATTTAAGGTATGCCAGGCTTTGTGCTGCACCCTTTTTAAAAACCAAACACATAAACTTTACCTTATAAAATACTAAACTAACTGTACTGAATAAAAAAAGTTCAACATTATAAAATGATAAACAATGTAAAACAACGTTTTCGATAACCATTTTGTCCATCATAAAAATTGAAGTAAATATAATATACATTAATCAGAATTCAGGGATGTACAGTAGCTAAGGTGAATGAGGCCAGGGAGCCTTGAAGTTTGATACCCAGTTTAAAAGCTAATTTCATGGTCGTCAGCTCCCCTTTATTGCTGTAACCACCATGCCCATCTTTGAACTCCACTCATATTAGATTTTACCAATGTTATCACCCACCCACCCATCCTTAAAATGTCTACTGCCCACCCTGCAACCCTAAGAATGATATTAATTAAAATATTTCTCAAAAAAAATTATAGAGAGAACTCACAAAAATTCTATTAATAGTAATATAAAATTTAAAAAAAAAGGAAAAAACGAATATATCTATCTTTTGTCAAGACTTTATATTTAAGAAATTTTAGTTCCAATGTTTCTGAATACTGTAGACCCTACTGTACAAAAATACTGTAGTATCCACACCAACGAATTATAACATTAAACTCTGCCTCTAGAAAAGAAATTTTGGGTAATATTGTAGTAAACCAGTTTCAACCAAATACATTTGGTTTACCATTTACCGGTACATCTGTAATATACTGTATAACCAGTGTTCTTTCGATATTGCCTGAATAGCCTTTCTACGTCCCTCAATCACATTAGAGAATCAAATGTCTGATTTTATAATAGCAACAACCGCTAGGGTACTGTATGTTCTATTGTATTTAAATGGCTGAAATTGAGTTCTGGAATCGGCCTGTTTTTGCCAAGTTTCTTATGATCACATCAATGTGGTAGCTATTAACTTTATAACTCTGGAGACTTTATGGCTAAGGACTTGGCACATTAAACTGATTCCAGAAAAATTATACTGTTAAACATGTACCAAAATAAGTATTGAATACCATTTTGTGTGGACTTGTAAACAACAAAGATTTCTGTAGCAGTTTTTTTCATTCTATTCTTTAAAAATACTGTAGACTCTCAACTCTGCACCCAATTCATGCTCGTATGACCCACCAGAATGTTGTTTATTTACTGCAGATACAGTTATATTGTGATTCGTCATGTAGAACCTTCTATACATTTGAATTCTATAGAACAATCCAGTCTGAACCATTAGAATGTTAATAAACTATATCTATTTGAATGTTTGTTTTCATGTTATTACAGAGGCAAGAACGTGTCGAGCTGACCAGTTCAGCTGTGGTGAGGGCAGTATCTGCATTCCGGCAACGTGGCAATGTGATCGTGACGCAGACTGCGACAACGGTGCTGATGAAGCTAATTGTGGTAAGTTTGAAAGAATTTTGTTATCTACTTTATAATACCTCAGAATGTGTTCATATCTCGCACTAAAATATTATCATCATTTAATATGAAACTGTTTTGTGCATCTTTACTTAATTTGTAAAACAAAATTATGATATTTCAGAGGCTGTAACATGTACCGCAGATGAGTACACTTGCGGAAACGGAAAGTGCATAATTAACCGTTGGGTTTGTGATCAAGACGACGATTGCGGCGACAACACTGACGAAGCCACTTGCCCACCAATAACATGCGCCCCGAATGAGTTCATGTGCAATAATTCCCTCTGCATTCCTGATCGCTGGAAGTGTGATGGTGACTACGATTGCCCCGACCTTTCCGACGAGTCCAGCGACCACTGTGCTCCTACACCACACCACAGCCGTTGTTCGGTTCGTGAGTTTGAATGTAATAATGGCGAATGCATTCACACCAGTTGGAAATGCGATGGCGCACCAGACTGTACAGATGGGTCTGATGAAGATGGATGTCGTAAGTACATTAGAAAATATGTTATAAGAAATGCATTAATATTTCTGAATTCTAGTACCAAAAAAAAATTTGTTTTATTCCCCCTTTTTTTTAAAAACAAAATAACTATGCCCGTTGCAGGCTCTATTTGTTAACTGAAGATCTTAAACTGATCACAGCATCTTTTTATTGCTTATTTTCAAGCAGCGGTGACAACGTGTTACCCGTCCCAGTTCACCTGTAGTAACGGAGAATGCATTGATGGAGTCCGTGAATGTGATGGAACTCCGGATTGCACTGATGACTCCGATGAGCATAGTGAATGCCCTAGTGGTGAGTTTGTATTCTGATTAGTTATGCTCCCAACCAGTAACTCCCCGCCCCCTTGAATCTGCTACTGCCAACCACCCCTACCCTAAAAGGAACCCATTTCAGAGAGCAGCATAACTTAATATGCAGAACCTCTGTCATCCTTGCCATGACCGCTGAACCATGTAAATCGTCACTGACCTTACTTTTTCTTTTGAAAGGCTAAAAAACAAGTTAAGTTTAACACACTTTCTCCTGTAGGTCCCATCTGAGATTGACATACTTCAGATCCATGTTCTGTAGAATATAGAGGGGTCTGAAAGGGTTTATCCCAGACTTATAATCAACAAATCCTCTTGGGTACTTCTGTTTGCATATGATTTAAAAGGTATCGTAATCAGTAGATACTAAATTAATTAAAAGAGTAGAACTAATCATGTTGTATTCTTTCTTTTGACAGCTCCCAAAGAATGCAACACAAATGAAGATTTCTTGTGCAAGAACGGTAGGTGCATCTTAATGACACAGACATGTGATCGACAACCCGACTGTGGTGATGGGTCTGATGAAGAGATTTCAAAGTGTGGTAAGTTCATATCTTTTTGAATATTTTCCAAACCCATTACATTTCATTTATTGTTATCCTGTCTCTTATA